ATTAATCAGTGATGCTTTTGGAGAAAGATTTTGATGAAAAGGGGAAAATGTGAAACAAATAAGAGAAACCTCAACTAACTTGGATCACGAAGTCTTGTAGGAGGAGCTCTCATGCCCTAGCATACATCATCAATTACTCCAAACAGGAAGAGATGGAGGCTTGCATTTTTGACAGGAAGTAGAACTACTTTACTACTGAACGAAGATTTCTCTCCTCATCCAGCAACAGCCCTGCCAATGAGAAATGCTCCAGCTCAGCCAATGAGAAGCCATTGTCACCCTGAACTATTACTTTTCCCCCAATGGACTTTCATTTAGAACAGCCCCTAACTACTCCTCCTTTTTCTTTATAAAAGCAAGCTACCTTTCTTAGTTCTCTGGATTTGCCTATGGTGTCATAGCAACATCCTGAATTGCAATTCTTTTGGCTATTTTTGAATGAACTCATTTTGAGGGCAAAATAACAGGTGAATTATGAATAAGCTATGTATTCAGCACAATGTTATATAATCTACATTGATTCCAGGGCTGAGAAAGAGGTCAAAGAGTGGCACCATGGTAGGTGGAGCAGATGACATCTTCGTTGACTAGCAAAGGTGACCCAGTCTCTCCTTTCTGTGTAAGAAAAAGTAAATTAAAAGCTCTACCCATAAATCACCAAATTAAGACTTTAAAAAGATGAAAAAGACACAGTTGATCATCATTATTCTCAGACTCTGTATTTGAAAATTCACCTACTCACTAAAATTTATTTGCAACCTCAAAATTAATACACATGGGGGGCCAGCCCAGTAGCGTAGTGGTTAAGTTCGTGCACTCTGCTTTGGCGGCCAGGGGTTCACAAGTTCGGATCCCGGGCACAGACCTATGCACCGCTTGGCAAGCTATGCTGCGGCAGGCATCTCACATATAAAAAAAGTAGAGGAAGATGGGCACAGATGTTAGCCCAGGGCCAATATTTCTCAGCAAAAAGAGGAGGATTGGCAACAGACATTAGCTCGGGGCTAATCTGCCTCACACACACACACACACAAAATAGAACATATTCCTCTTAAAAAAATTAATATTCACGGGGCTTTTGCACATTGTACACACATTTTACACATTGTACACACGATGTGTACAAAGTGGCAAAGAATTTGAGTCTCCCTGCATGCGTGTTCCCAGCTGAGGTTGAACAGGGTGATGCTCTGCCTTCTTGTTCCAGCTTTCATACTGCGGACAAATGTCCTTTTCATGGTCTGTGTAGCATCATGTTTTCCACATTTTTGTGGGGTTTTTTTTGGTTATTTCACTGTTTAAAATGTCCTCCAAGTGTAATGCTGAAGTGCTGTCCACTGTACCTAAGTACAAGAAGGCTGATATGTGCCATATGGAGAAAAAAATGTGTGTTAGATAAGCTTCATTTAGGCGTGAATTCATGCTGTTGGCATGAGTTTGATCTTAGTGAGTCAACAACATATATTAAATAAGATGTTTTTAAACAGAAACACACATAAAACAAGGTTACGTATTGATCAGTTGAGGAACATGTTGTGACCAGAGGCTCGCAGGAACCTAACTGTATTTTTCCTAGGAGCAAAGTGGGTCAGCACTCGATAATTCAGTGTACACAGTGACTCCAGAGAATCTAACTTACCTGTGCATGCAGGTGTCTTAGCTGGAGTTCTCTCAGAAGCAGACCTCAAGAAAGGAGTTTATTTGGGAAATGAGCTCAGGAAACATTGGTGTGAGAGCAGGGAAGTCAGACAGGAAAGCAAAGGCAGCCAATAAAGGGTGAATTATCAAACAAATTACCTCTGTGGGCAATTGAAGCTCAACTTGGGCAACTCTGGGAGCCAATGAAGAACATGTGACTTGGAGTTTAATTCCATTATGGTCCAAGAACATACTGTGTATGAATTCAATTCTTTTAAATTTGTTCAAGTTTGTTTTATGGCCCAGCATATGGTCTCTCTTGGTGAATGTTTCATGTGTCTTAGAAGAGTTTGTATTCTATCATTGTTGGGTGGATATTCTTTAAATGTCACACACTGATTTTTTGTCTACTTGTTCTGTAGATTGCTGAGAAAGAAGTGCTGATGTTACCAAGTATAATTGTGAATTTGTCTATTTCTCCATTCAGTTCTATCAATTTTTGCTTCATGCTCTGTTGCTAGGTGCATACAAATTGATGATTATATGTCTTCTTGATGAATTGACCTTTTTATCATTATGTATTGTCCCTTTTATCCCTGATAAATAATTTCTCTTGATTTGAAGTTTAATTTATTTGATATTAATATAGACAATACAGCTTTCTTTTGATTGGGGTTTGTGTAGTTTATCTGTTTCTATCCTTTTAATATATGTATATCATTACATTTAAAGTAGGTTTCTTGTAGACTATATAGTTGTTTTTTGTTTAAATTCAACCTGACAATCTTTTTTTTTTAAATGGTGTGTTTAGATCATTTACAATTAATGTGATTACTGGTATGGTTGAATTAGGCTTTCCATTTTGTTATTTTTCTGTTTGTCTCCTCTGTTTTTTGTTCCTCTGTTCCCCCTTCCTGCCTTCTTTTGAATATTTTTTAGTATTCCATTTTAATTTATCTGTTAGCTTTTTGTCTATATTGATTTGTATATTTTTTCACTGGTTGCTCTAGGGATTATAATATACATGACTAAGTTTTCACAGTCTACTTAGAGTAATATTTTACAGCTTCAGGTACAATATGGAAGATTTGCAATCATATAGGTCTCTTTACCCTCACTCCTTTATCTTATAGTTGTCATATGAGTTATATTTACATACAATACATTGATGCCTTCCCAGACAATGTTAAATTTTTGTTTTCAAACTTCATACATATTTTAGAGAACTTAAAAAAAGAAAAAATATCTCTTAACCAGACATTTATTATTTCTATTGTTTTTTCCTCATTCTTGAAGTTCCTAGTTTCCCCCTAGGAACATTTGTCTTCACACTTAACTTCCTTTAGGAATTTCTCTTAGAGCAGATATACTAGTAATGAATTCTCTCTGTTTTCCTTCATCTGAGAATAACCTTATTTTACCTTCATTTCTGAAGGATATTTTCACTGGGTATAGAATTCTGAGTTGACATTTCTTTCAGCACTTTAAAGATTTTACTCTGCTGCCTTTATGATTTCTGATGAGGAATCCTTAGTGTCTCCAGCATCTGTAGTGTTTGAACTTGCGTTTCCCCGTATGTGATGCTTCATCTTGCCATAGGGGATTTCAAGAGTCTCTTTACCTTTGGTTTCCAGCAGTTTGATTTTCATGTGTATAAACGTGGTTTTCCTTATCTTGTTTGGGGCTCACTGAACTCATAGAATCTATAAATTTATGTCTTTCACAAAATTTGAGGAGTTTTTAGTCATCGTTTCTTCTAACATTTGTCTGTCACAATATTGTTCTCTTCTTCAGGGACCCCAATGATGTTGATGTTGCCCTACAGGTCCCTGTGACTGTTTATTTATGCTTGGATCCTTTTTCTCTCTGTTCTTCTGATTTAATAATTTCTATTTCTCTACCTTCAAATTCAATGATGCTTTTCTCTGTCATCTCTATTCTGCTGTTGAGCTTACCTAGTGCATTTTTTTCTTTCAGACATTTTATTTTTCAGTTCTAAAATTTCTATTTGGCTCTTTCTTATAGTTTCCCTTTCTCTGCTGACAACATCTATCTTTATTTTCATTTCGGAAGTGCTCACATTTACCTCAGGAAGGAAGGTTAAAATGGCTACTTTAAATTATTGACTCCTAATGGTTTTATTTCACACTGCCTCATGAGCTTGGTCTCTTGCATTTGACCACTTGGATTTTCTCTGACTCTGATGCTTTGGACTCCAGCTTGTCTGTTGGGCTCCTCTACCTTCATTGCCCAGTCGTGCACTGGGCAGTCCTGCATTTGACAATGCCATGTCAAAGGGATGTCTTGGATCCTCAGCTAGGCTATTAGATCTTTGCTGATTAGATTAGGACTGTTGATTCCTTTTCTATCTCCTCCCCCAACAGTGTCTTCAGTAATGCTGCACAATTTGAATTAAATTGAAATAGTAGATTTGTTGATAGAAAATTCACAAGTTGAATTCAGCCAATAGATTTTGTATATTACAATGTGATTATTATCTTGAATAACTCTTTTCATTCTAAGCAACAGTGAAATTTTATGGAGCAGAAAGGTAGTGCACATTTCATGCCTCTCAATATTTTCAATCCAATTATAATTGCAAGCAGCCCTCATAAATCTAATTCTGTACCTTATAGAAACCCCATAGGTACCCAGGCCAGACAGAATTAGTGTATTATAGTGTTACTGTCCATCACAGAAAGTTGAGGCAAAGCATTTATTAACATGATTGATATAACAGGAATGATGTGCTGTTCATCTGCCATGGTCACCTGCTTCATTAATATTGGCAGCATTTAGCAAGGCTGGAAAACTGATTGGTTCATTCATTCTTCAATCATTCCTTCAACAGATATTATTGATCATTTAGTATGTGTCAGGCAGTAGCAGAGGACTCTCTCAGAATGAGGCTGAGGCTTTCATCCAGAGCTCTGGGTACTTATGGAGTGATGAGTTTGTTGAGGAGAAGCTATGGAATGTCAGATCTCTGCTCTTTCTGCTGATACAGAGAAGGGAGAGTAAGAGTCCAGCAGAACTGGTCCAGGAAGCGATGCCCAGGGAAGGGCGGGTCTTGGGCCTATATTTGCTATAACAACAAGAGTTGTGGTTATATCAATAAGCTATATCAATAAGAGTTCAGGGATGATGTCAAGCTGGCAGTGTAGGCAGACTCTGAACTCACCTCCTTCCACGGGCACAATGAATTTATAACTACTCTTGAAACAATTACCCCTAAGAGAGAACTGAAAACTGGATAAAAAGAACCCCCACAATAAGCGACAGTGCTGACTGAGGTGGAAGAGACAGAAATTCCTTTCTGGAGAGAAAAAAGCCACCTTCAAGCTGTGAAACTTCATGTCCAGCCAGGAGCAACCTTAAGGTACAAAGCCTTCCCTGGAGGAGTGGGGGATCTGAGCAAGAGAGCATTACCACAATAAGCAGCTTTTGGACTCAGCACAACCAAGACAAGTGTCATAATACCTGGCTTTGCTGGATATTAACTACAACAGGGAATATCCATAGAAAAACCATTGGACATAAGGGGGAAAAAAGCCTGCTGTTAAAGGGCCCGCACACAAATTCACCCATTTTGGAAAGCAACCTAAAATCACCAGAAAGAAAAGTGCACAGTCATTTGGTGAAAAGAAACTCACCTGATAGTCTCTGGGTGCATCTGGGTGAGAGGTGAGACATCTCCAGGGACTGAGACATTGGTGGCAGCCATTATTGTGACCTAGTACAGGCATGCTGACACAGACGTTGGCAGGTACCATTGGAGATCTTCCCCGGGCCCCTTAGTGCAAGGGTCTGTCCCACTCACTAGAGCACTGATTTAATCAAGTTCAGTCAGGGCAGGCAGCCCACCCTAGGGACTGGCTCCACCCAACAGCAAGCCCTTGGGCAACTTGTGGGCCTGTATAGGTGGGGTGCCTGGAATGCCTGCAGCTGGGCCAGCGGGTCTGTGTCTGTGGGGCAAGGCATGCGTGAGGGGCTGGTCTGCACTGGTGGAGTGTGTGGGGCCTCTGCAGTGGTGCAACTGAGTCCACTTCAGTGTGTCAGGGTGCACACACAGGGCAGGACTGTGTTGATGGTGTGTGTGGCCTTGCAGGCAGTGGGGCCTATAAGCTGCAGCAGACTTGTGCTTCTCAAACAGCCACGTAGGGGATTCACCCCACCTTCCAAGGCCTGAAACAGTTGGGTGCTCCCATGCCTGGGGCTGCCCCATTCAGCTGCAATCCTGAGACAGCTGACAACAGCCTTGCAGGCCAGAGGCCTACAGCAATTGTAAGCCCCTGAGCCTAGCAACCAGCCACCCTGGGGGCCTACTCAAAAGAAAAAGTGCAACAAGAATGTGCAATTTGACCTTGCAGCCAACTGTGCTGGGGCTCCCTACACCTGATAAAGAGACTGAAGGGTCCATAGAAGCCACACACAGCTGAGCATTACAACTAGCCAGCCAGGGGGACAGCCTAGCCTCCCCAGGCACCTGCAGCAAGAGCAACTATGCCACAACAGAAAGACACATGTAGCCCACACAAGGGACACTCCTGGAACATTTTGAAACTAGTGACAAGAGGGAAGCACACTGCTGGGCCTCACAAGGCATCTCTTACATAAGGCCACCTCTTCAAGATCGGGAGATGTAGCTGACCTACCAAATACATAGACAGATATAAGCACAGAGAAAGAGGCAAAAATGAGGAGACAAAGGAATACGTTCCAAGTAAGGGAATAGGACAAAACCCTAGGAAAAGAACTAAATGAAACAGAAATAATCTACCTGAAAAAGAGTTCAAACAAAGAGTCATAAGGATGTTCACTGATCTTGGGAGAAGAATGGATGAACTCAGTGAGAACTTTAACAAAGAATTGGAAAATATAAAACAGAACCAAACAGAAGTGAAGAATACAATACTGGAAATGAAAAATTCACTAGAGGGACTAAATAGCAGAGTAGATGATACAGAAGACCGGATCAGCAAGGTGGGTGAAAGACTAGAGGAAATCACCCAAGCTTAACAGACAAAAGAAAAAAAGAATTAAAAAGAACAAGGACAGGGGCTGGCCTGGTGGTGTAGCGGTTAAGTATGCACACTCCACTTTGGTGGCACGGGGCTCGCGGGTTCAGATCCCGGGCGTGCACTGAAGCACAGCTTGTCAAGCCATGCTATGGTGGCGTCCCATATAAAGTAGAGGAAGATGGGCATGGATGTTAGCCCAGGGCCAATCTTCCTCAGCAAAAAGAGGAGGATTGGCAACAGATGTTAGCTCAGGGCTAATCTTCCTCCCCTCCACAAAAAAAAAGAACGAAGACAGTCTAAAGGACCTCTGGGACAACAGCAAGCACACTAACATCTGTATTATAGGTCTCCCAGAAGGAGAAGAGAGAGACAAAGGGGCAAAGAACCTATTTGAAGAAATAATAGTTGAAAACTTTCCTAACCTAAGGAAGGAACCAGACATCCAGGTACAGAAAGCACAGGAAGCACCAAAGAAGATAAACCCAAAGAGGCCACACCAAGACACATTATAATTAAAATGTCAAGAATTAAAGACAAAGAGAGAATCCTAAAAGCTGCAAGAGAAAGGCAACAAGTTACATACAAAGGAAACCCCATAAGGCTATCAGCCAACTTCTCAGCAGAAACCTTACAGGCTAGAAAGGAGTGGCATGATATATTTCAAATGCTGAAAGGAAAAAACCTACAGCCAAAAGTACTCTATGCAGTAAGGTTATCATTCAGAATGGAAGGAGGGATACAGAGTTTCCCAGACAGCAAAAACTAAAGGAGTTTATCACCAAGAAACCAGCTTTACAAGAAATGCTAAGGGGAATTATTTAAGGGGGAAAGAGAAGACCACGAATAGGAAAAATTATCCATTTCCATAAGGGGGTAACATATACAAATGCACAAAAAAGAGGTTAGATATGATATCAAAAACATAAAGTGTGGGAGGAGGGGAGTAACAGAGTAGAGCTTTTAGAAAGAGGTCAAACTAAAGAGACCATCAACTTAATATAGATTGCTATATATGTAGGTTATTATATATGAACCTCATGGTAATCACAAACCAGAAACCTATAATAAATGCACAAAAAATTAAGAGAAAGGAACCCAAACATAATACTAAAGAAAGCCATCAAACCACAAGGGAAGAGAGCAAGAGAAGAAGAAAGGAACAGAGAAGAACTACTAAAACACCCAGAAAAAATGTAACAAAACGGCAATAAGTGCATTCTTATTGATAGCTATTTTAAATATCAATAGACTAAATGCTCCAATCAAAAGGCATAGGGTGGCCGATGGGACAAAAAAACAAGACCCATATATATGCTGCATACAAGAGACATACTTCAGACCTAAAGACACTCACAAACTGAAAGTGCAGGGATGGAAAAAGGTAGTCCATGCAAACAGCAATGAAAAGAAAGCTGGAGCAGCAATACTTATCTCAGACAAAATAGACTTTAAAACAAAAACTATAACAAGAGACAAAGGAGTGCACTGCATACTGATAAAGGGAAGAATCCAACAAGAGGATATAACACTTGTAAATATCTATGCGTCCAACGTAGGAGCACCTAAATATATAAAGCAATTACTGACAGACATAAAAGGAGAAATAGACAGCAACACAATAATAGTAGCGGACTTTACACTCCACATAGACCAATAGATAGATCATCCAAACAGAAGATCAATAAGGATACATGGACCTTAAAGGACACATTAGACCAGTTGGACCTAGTAGCTATATACAGAACATTCTATCCAAAAACCACAGAATACGCATTCTTTTCAAATGCACATGGAACATTCTCCAGGATAGATCACATATTAGGCCACAAAACAAGTCCCAATAAATTTAAGAAGATTGAAATAATACCATGCATCTTTTCTGACCACAATGGTATAAAACTATAAATCAACTACAGGAAGAAAATCAGAAAAGCCACAAATATGTGGAGATTAAAAAAATGCTATTGAACAACAATTGGGTCAATGAAGAAGTCAAAGGAGAAATCAAAACATACCTGGAGACAAATGAAAATGAAAACACGACATGCCAAAATTCTGGGACACAGCAAAAGCAGTTCTAAGAGGGAAGTTTATAGCAATACAGGCCTACCTCAACAAACAAGAAAAATCACAAATAAATAATCTAACAGTACACCTAAAGGAACTGGAAAAAGAACAAACAAAGCCCCAAATCAGTAGATGGAAGGAAATAATAAAAATCAGGGCAGAAATAAATGAAAGAGAGACAGGAAAAAAATCAATGAAACTAAGAACTGGTTCATTGAAAAGATAAACAAAATTGACAAGCCTTTAGCTAGACTCACCAGGCAAAAAAGAGAGAAGGCTCAAATAAATAAAACCAGAAATGAAAGAGGAGAAATTATAATGGATACCACGGAAATACAGAGGATTGTAAAAGAATACTATGAGAAATTATATGCCAACAAATTGAACAATCTAGAAGAAATGGATAAATTCTTAGACTCATACAACCCTCCAAAACTAAATCAAGAAGAAATAGACAATTTCTATAGACCAATAATCAGCAATGAGATTGAAACAGTAATGAAAAATCTCCCAAGGGGCTGGCCGAGTGGTGTAGTCGTTGGATTTGCCTGCTCTGCTTTGGCAGCCTGGGGTTTTCAGGTTCAGATCCCAGGCACGGACGTATGCACCACTTATCAAGGCATGCTGTGGTGGCATCCCACACATAAAAGTAGAGGAAGATGGGCACCGCTGGTAGCCTAGGGCCAATCTTCCTCGCAAAAGGAAGAGGATTGGCAACAGATGTTAGCTTAGGGCTAATCTTCCTCACCAAAACAAAAAACAAAAACCTCCCAAAAAATAAAAGTCCTGCACCAAACATCTTCCCTGATGAATTCTACCAAACAGTCAAAGAAGAATTAATACCTATCCTTCTCAAACTCTTCCAAAAAATTGAAGAGGATGGGAAGCTTCCTAACTCGCTCTATGAAGTCTAATACCAAAACCAGACAAGGACAACACGAAAAAAGAAAATTACAGGCCAATATCACTGATGAACATCGATGCAAAAATCCTCAACAAAATACTAGC